GTTTTGACACGTTTTTATCGTTCTTTACATCGTCGAAGGAGCGAGTGAGCTGTAACTCAGATAAGGACCATGCTGAGGCCACGTGAGTTTTTCGGAGGTGGCGCGATATTCAGTATTAAATTGACCACTATCCACAAATATTACTATTTATATTACATATTAGCTTAAACTATCTATTTGATCACTTGTGTTTTAATTTTGTCAAAATTTGATCATTAAAATTAAAAAATTATGTTTCAATCACTTAATTTATTAATATTTTTATAATTTGATCACTAAATTATCAGTTCCTTTTAGTTTGGTGCTTAGGTGCAAGATTTTTGTTCAAGGGATCTTTGGCTTGAGCTTCCCTTCATGTATTACATATTTTCTTAAAAGGGTCTTTGGCTTGAGCTTCCCTTCATGCGTTACATATTTTATTTACTTTTTAATTAATAAGGTGATATTATGTGCTATCATTTTATTGGCTGATATTAATTTTTAATAAAAATATTAATGCGATCTTATTAGATGATATTAATTTATTAAATAAAAATTTTCTAAAGTTAATGATTTTATTTTTTAAACAAAAATATAACGTCAGCAAATAAGTATATTTAGATGCATCAATTCAACAACAAACATTGATTAGTCAACTAATTATTTCTATCAAATAAATATAAAGTAATGAAACCCGGATCAGCCAAGATGGCAACGGCGTAATTAAACACAAACATGAGGGCAACAGCGGTATAAACGAGGGTGTTAATGATACCAGGGGAGGTCATTAGACCGAACCAGCGGTCAATGAACACGAAGACCGTACAAAAGTAAACGAAAGCGATGATGGAAACGACTACGGCTACGGGGAAGGAAAAGCTGGACCCTACCCTCATGGTTTAGATGCTTACAATATAATGTTCGAATAAGTGGGGGATGCGCCGGCGTGAAAAACGTCGGCGATTACGCTGCTGCTGATAGGTGATCTTTTTTTTTTCTTTGGGAAAAAAAGTTATGTTTTGCGGAGAAAAGTTGACGCTATTAATTTGGAGGATTGTCTCTGTTGGGAAACAATTGTTGTATTATGATTTTGCTTTAATATATCAATTGCCCATAAACTTTAGAATTATTCTCGATATGGTACCTATGGCTGATGGCATTTATTTTCTTGATCATTTTGATACCTGAATTTAACCATTATTCTCATAATGTTACGCAATTTTTCAAAAATCATTTAAATATCTAAACTTAAAAACTGTTCTTAATTTATTATATATTGCCTTTCAAAAGTATATGTAGTTAAGCATGGGTACCACCTTGAAAACAATTATCAAGTGTAAATGTCAAAGCAGTCAAAAAAAATACCAAATTAAGGGTTCAATCAGTCTATTAAGTCTATAATTTTATATATCTAAAAGTGTAGATGGTGCCGTGCCGGTTTTCTTTCCCCCAATGCCCTTTTGGTCTTATTATTTTCAGATTGAGCTTACTAATCAAACTGATAAAAAAAATCGACTAAATTGAATTGAGAAATAAGGGTAAACTACACAAATTGTCACTAGTGTTTGATAAATTTTTTGCTTTCTTCACTAAAGTTTTAAAAATAATAAATTGATCACTAACGTTATCGATTTGTTACAAATATGTCACTCGTCATTAACAATTGTTACTGCAGTAACAAAATACTAATGTGGCATGTTAAACTAGCTGACTTAGTATGTTTAACCGACATTTTGATTTTTTTTCTCCTCCTCCTGCTAATCATGGTTGTTGTTCATCATCAACCTCTATTTTTGGGTAAATCTTCTTTCACTCCTCTGCATTCATGTTGTCTTATCATATGATCTAACCTTATTGATAAATTTTAGGGTAAATTACCTGTTTAGTACCTAAAGTTTCATTTTTGGTACGTTTTAGTATCTGAACTTTCAATTTTTTATAAAATTATACCTAACGTTTAATTTTTGTTTCATTTTAATACCCCACCGTTAAAAACTTAATGGCAGAGTTGGCATGACATTTTTTATTATATTTTTAAAAAATATTTTAAACTACTTATGATACAATACATACAATTTTTAAAATAAAATAATATTGATTTTATAAAATGTATAAATAATTATTTAATTTTTTTATTTTAAATTAAAATGAGAAATCATTTATTTTAATTTAATATTTTTATATGTTAAATAATAATTTTGGTATGTATTAATTAATTCTTAATCTTATTTAGTGATTAAATACTTGAATATTTTCTGAGATATTCTAAGTTGGAATCATAGATCTAACACATTTATTTCATTTTATAATGATAGTTTGGTATAAGTTAAATATATAAATTTGGCATTTAGAATCGATGACCTGGGCCAGCTCAGACAGTTGAGCTCCCCATTTTCCTCCTAGGAGACCCAGGTTCGATCCATAGTGAGTACACCTTTAGGAGTTTATTTCATAATTTTGTTTCTAATAAGGTGGTGACACGTCACTGTAAATAAGGTTCGATCCATAGTGAGTACTCCTTTAGGAGTTTAATTCATAATTTTGTTTCTAATAAGGTGGTGACATGTCACTGTTAAAAATTTATTTACATAGTTGATGTGGCATTTTTATTATTTAAATTATTATTTAATTAATTTATTCAACTAATAAGGTGATGACGTTTTTAACAGCTGCTATTAAAATAAAACAAAAATTAAATATTATGTATGATTTTGTAAAAATTAAAAGTTTATATACTAAAACGTACAAAACACATAATTTACCTTAAATTTTATACATTTGAAGTCGCTTTCTTTCCGGGGTTCATTATGAAGTAGAATTTTTTTTCCACCAAGTACACAGTTATTTTCCATTCTAATTTCCTCTAATAATCTCCCGCGAAAAAAGCTAGAAAAAGAATAAAAAAAAATATAAAATAGTTTAATTTAAAAGAAGTTGCTGGAATTGTCCCTTCGGGAAGCTATGATTAGGAAATGGAGAGAAAATATACTTTATGTTAATTACTGAATAGACACATAATACTACTATGAAAGTGTAAACCTAATTCTGAATTGCCCCATGTCTTTAGAACTTATTAACTATGAATTGCTCTCATCGTGCCACTTAATTGAATGTATTGAATGTTGTTCTTCCTATGATTTACAAAGTCTCCGAGTGAAACCCAAATCCCATTCTCCCTCCTTTTTATTTTTGTTTTGGCTCAATCGAGATTGCAATTTGAGCAAAGGATAACCAGAAAAGATTGCAGGTTGTAAGATTCAAATGCAAACATGCTAAATGTTACCACTAGATATGGATCAAGAACACTCTAGAGCTTCATTTGATGAAACGTACAACTTGGAACAATGGATAAACAGAAAAGATTGCAGATGTTAAGATTCAAATGCAAACATGCTAAATGTTACCACTAGATATGGATCAAGAACACTATGGAGCTTTGTTTTAAGATAAGTCAAACGATCGGCCAAACATGTTGATTCCACTAGTTTAATGTGCCACGTTAGCATTTAGTTAATGCAGAGTGACCGATTTGTAACAAATCGATAATATTAGTAACCGATTTGTTACTTTTAAAACTTCAGTGAGAAAAACAAAAACTTACTCGAACATTAGTGATCATTTATATCGTTTACCCTAAAATTAATCCGATTAATTGACATTTTACACACCCGTACAAATTTTAAGAATGGGAGAGTTCGGGTTTGCTACTTCATTCGGTTTGTATTTCTTTTGTGGAAATTGCATATTTATCTTGAATTTATGAATCATTAACCTTTTTGTTACTCCATAGGCTGAGCTAGCAATTTGACAAGGTCACTATCAGCACATACATCTCCAACTGCTGCAACTATTGTCATAATGACAGTGAAGAGGATGCTTGATCTTGGAAGCCCTAACACATAACCTAATGCAAATACCAAATTCAACCTCCTTATGGTATCTACCATCTCTGCAATTGACCCTACAGTCACTAAACCCTACATTTCATTCTACAACTCATGCCGATATGGGCTAAATTGCAAGTGTGATGCTACTCACAGCAAAAGCCAATCAATTCAATGGCCTCAAAATTGGATCTGCACATCACACACTAGCCGCATTTCCATTACAACGCTTGGTAAAAATATCACAGCAACAAACCAGTGTGTCAACAACACCAACAATAAGCACAACAATCATAACATGCATGATAGAGACACTTTAACTAGCCTTCCACAATTCAAGGAAAATACTATACACAGAAGACAGTACATTCAAAGCATATAGAAGGAATGAAGATGTAATGGAAAGTGCTGGAAATGTAATAGGCAATAGTAAATTATATATGCTCCATAAAACATTCCACCATGTTCCGTCTTTTAAGTTTAGTAATATCTGCTTTGTAAAATTTTGTACAACGATGAAGTTCTTGATTGCAATTTTTGGTTGCCTTTCTCCTACATAAACTCTGTAAGATAAAACAAAATCATGCATCATAGGCATACTGATTTTTACCTTTCAAAACTCCCATATTGACTGAAGAAGTCGATGTCTGATTGGAAGAAGTCGATGTCTGATTGGGAGAAGAAAGAACAAATCTTGCACAACAAGAACAGAGTATTACAGGGTAAAAGGAAATTATACTAAGAGAAGAAGCAGCCCTTTCCATAAAATGAAACTAAAAACCAATTTCTAAGGCAGAGTGTTCTTCAAGATAACAAGTAATTTCACTAATTAAAGAATTCGTGTCAAAAGAGGGAACAAGGGAAAACAAAGGACAGTAGGAAACCCTCATTGCATCAGTGTGACTGATGACAGTTAACTAAGAAGGTACTTTCGAAGCTGTCCAACCAACAAATCCATTAGACTTGTACATGTGTCTCTATCCACGACTACAATAATGATCAAGGTCCTACTGGTGCAATATGACATTTAAGCTCAATCATGAATAATTGATTGGAAAATTAAAATTTTAGAATCCATCATATGGTTAGGTAATTCAAACAAAAACCCAAAACCAACTAGTACATCAGTTGTTGCGTGCGGATTGGCTTCCACTCAAGTAAAACCTAAAAGAAACAATGTCAACAACTCGACAATTTGTATTAAGGATTGCAAATAAACAGCAAAATCCCTGATAGCAAATTACATAGAAGAAAGAAGCGAGGGAATGAATTATCACAGCAGCTTACTAATTGAACAAATTTAGGTCAGAACCACTAAACGATCATTCTAACTAACCACAAAAACTTCTTTTTCCACTTGTTCCTCGTTGATGCACATATCAATTCATGAAAGCCTCTTTCTCTTTCAATAGAATCTAAGCTCGAGTAGTTCTTCATTCCTTCGCCAAAAGTGTCAGTATTTACATCGAGTAAAATCATACAATCTACACACATTCCCTTCCTTCTTGAAAATTGCCACATTATAATATCAGATAAAAAGAAAACAGATTAGCCTAAAAATGAACAAAGAATCCATTGTCCAACCATTCAATCCTCGAAATTTCAATTGCTCTCTCTCCTAGATGACCTCCCAAAGACTGAACTTGTTCTGCTTATCCTCGTAAACCCAGAATCTGAACCTGAACGAGATGAGGAGCTCCTAAACCTCCCAAAAAATGAAACAAAACCCCGAAAAACTCGCCTCAATCCTCCACTTTCTTATGATCTTCTCCCACTTGGCGCCCATGAAATCCTTCTAAGAGCACCTGCTGCATTATTAAACCCACCAACCATCCATCTCAGTGAAAACTACTGGAAACTCTCTCTCCACAGCTCTCCTCCCACCGGGAAACCTCCCCACAGCAAACCCACCACCCGGTAACCTCCATATTGTTAATCCCACGGCTGCTTCATTTTCACTTACATTGTTTCCATTACTTTCCCTTGGCAACTCATGGCGGCAAACTGGACAATAGTTCTGAATCGAAAGCCAGGGTAAAATACAATCCGAATGGTAAATATGCTTACAAGGCATTTCCCGAGCTTCACAATCTAGTTCGAACTGCTCTTTACAAACTGCACAGTGGGATTCCCTGCTTGCATGTCCGCCACTAATCTTAACCACCGGCATTGATTCAATCACCGCTTTGGAAGCAGGCGGTCGCTCAAAACGGCCAACTCCGTTTACTTCTAATTGAGATAACTGATCAAGAAGCCGATCAAAACCCGAACCCATTAAAAACTCAGACATGCTAGCGGGTAAGGGACTAAGACCCGACCCTGACCCATCATCATAATAAAGCTCAAAATTGGTATTTCCTCTTTCAGGAACTACGCTGTCGTATTCGGAGGTAGGCCCACGGAGAACAACGACGGGATTGAAAGGGGATCGATCGCCAGCGTTCCTTCGAACTTGGCGGAAAGGAGGAGTTCCAGTAGGACTGGGGCCGAGACCTGGGCTGGGCGTCTCAGAGTGCATAGTGGAGGCGGGGAAACGGTGGTGAATTGGAGAACGGGAAGGAGTTTTGAATTCTTCGATGAATCCGCTGCCGCAATCGGGGCAAAGGATCGAATCTTGGGGGGATCGGACCCGGATCTGGATGAACCGGTTACATCTGTAGCACCAATAGGGTGATCTAATCGATTCCATCGAAAGGTAAACGACTAAAACACCTGAAGAAATCAAAATTGGAGAAATCGGGAAAATTTTAAACCCTAGGATTTGAGTCTGAGCTTAGAAAGAAGAAAAGAAAAATGGGGAAATGTGAGAGAAATTAAAAAATGGAAAGGGAAGGGAAGCGCGCGTGGTGTTTAATTTAGAGTGGATTATGCGCTTTAAATTGGAAATTTCACCCCTGTTGCCCCATCTTGTTGCTCATTGGTCCCTTTATTTATTTAGTTTGTTTTGATACATTAATTATTACTATTAATATTTAAAAAAAAATTTGGTACACTTGAACAAAGCAGTAAACTAGTGTCTCAGCTGGTGCTCCTCGTCCTTATCCGCTCCCAACAACGCCTGAATTTCAGGTGGAGGCAACTTTAGAATAACGAAATCATCTCCTTGTAGAAGTGCGAGATTCGCAAGTTTATCGGCGCATTTGTTTCCTTCACGGCAGATGTGCCGAACTTCAACCACCCATCCTTCCTTAAGGATGTCTAAACAATCATTTACCAAATCAGTTTCAGAGGCGTCAACCATTTTGTCTCCATTAAAGAGGTCCACAATCCATTTTGCATCCATCTCTAGGATTAGGTTTCTAAACCCTAGACTTTTCGCTAACAAGAGACCCTGTCGAGCCCCCCAAATTTCAGCGAGCGAGTTATTAACCCTCCCTAGTCTAAGCATGAATCCCGCTTTCCAGTCCCCATTGCTATCTCAGATCAGACCACCTGCAGCCACCAGGCCAAAATTCATTTTATACACACCATCAGTATTTAGAATCCAACCCCCTTCAGGAGGTTTTTTTCCATTTAACCCAACAAGGATCATTAAACATCCTACTATGTGAGTTTAACAGAGCTTTATCTACATCCATTGCAAGCCGTTTGGCATAGGTAATCACTTGAGAGGAATCCATTGATGTTTCTTTAAAGATCATTTCATTCCCGCTCTTCCACAGTCCCCAAATAGTAGCCATGAACAAAGGTCCCTATTCTAATCCATCGAGCCCGACTTTCTTAGAAAGACAGTTTGATTTCAGCCAATTCTTGAAATCCATCGAAGTGAATCGGCTATCCTGTTCCGTAGCATTTAATTCTTCCCAAACAAATTTAGCAATGTTACACCTTCGGAAAATATGATCGGTTGATTCTGTTACATTTCGACAACTTTTTCAGTCCGCATACTGTGTCATGTTCTTCCTGCACCTAACCTCATTTGTGTTAAGTTTGTCTAAGTATGACAACCAAATAAAGAACCTGATTCGTTCGGTGGTTTTAGTTTTCCATACCCACTCAAGAATTTTCCCCATGTTGACCACCCATCTCCATATTAGAAATTGAGTGGTAAGCTGAACTCACCGTAAATTGCCCATCCTTGGAGAAGCCCAAAGTAATTTCATCTCGTTCATGCGGATCGGTTAGGACTGGAATCGAAACTCTTTGGATTTCCCTCCTTGTTTCTTCAGAGATTTGATACTGGATTTCTCAGATATTCCAAGTTCTATCTTCATTAATATATCTGGCCACCTCTTCATTTCTGCTTGGATTGTCCATTAAAGGATATGAAATTTTCAGTGGTTCTTTTCCTAACCACCACTCCTGCCAGAATTTTGCTTGAATACCTGATTTTATCTGCCATTTTCTCCCTTGTTTAATTAAGTTCCGAGTTCGTAGTAAGCCCCTCCAAGTGGAAGAGTTGTTTCCACTTGATTCTACCTCCAAAAATTCCTTATTTTTAAGATACTTCTCGGTAAACACTTTACACCAGAGATTTTCTTGTCTAGTGAGGAGTTTCCAACTGTTCTTTGTCATAAGAGCGATGTTTATTAATCTTGCTTTACGAATTCCTAATCCTCCCATCTTTTTTGATCGAGAAACTTTATCCCAGCTAACCAGATGATTATGAGCATACACTGTGTCTCCTCCCCACAAAAAAATTACAATTTAGGCTATCCAGCTTTTTACAGACCGAAATAGGAAGCACATATGTCTGCATCGTGTGTAATGGCACAGCACTGGAGACGGATTGAATAAGTGTTCTTCTACCCACCATGGATAGAACTCTTCCTTTCCAGCCTGTCAGTCTTTTAATGATTTTCTCAATGAGAGGACCATAGGTTCCTGAATTAACCCTTTTGTGGATGATAGGAACTCCCAAGTAAGTTCCCAAGTTATCCGTAAGAGGGATGCCACACAAATTACTTAAGTAATGAGCTGTGTTAGAGTTAATATTTGGGGAGATAAATAATTTTGATTTCAGAAGATTTACCTCAACTCCAACTGCACGGCTAAATTCATTTAGGCAACTTCTCATGTTTTGCATTTGATTTGAATCTGCTTCTGTAAACAGTAAGAGATCGTCCGCAAAGAATAAATGGCTTAATTTAATTCCACCCTTCGAGCTCTTAAACGGTTTCCATGTACCCCTTTCTTCTTTCTCCATGATAATGTGGGAAAGTCTTTCCATAACTAATATGAACAAGTACGGTGATAGCGGATCGCCTTGATGTAGACCTTGCTTTGGATTCAAACTCTCGGTGATTTCCCCATTCCACAACGGTTCAATTGTACAGGAAGTAATGCAGAACATTATAGTCTCAACCAAACTCTCAGGAAAATTAAAGTCTTGGAGGGTTTTCTTAAGAAATTCCAGCTAACATTATCAAAGGCTTTCTGAAGGTCTATTTTAGCAATCACTGCACCCTTCCTTCCTTTGAGTTTCATCATCGAATGAACTGCTTCCTGGACGATCAAAATATTATCCGAGGTACTTCTACCTTTAAGGAAACTGTTCTGATAAGGACCTATCAACCTTTGCAGCATAGGACACAACCGACGGGCAATGATTTTGGAGAAGATTTTGTATGATGTGTTCAGTAAGCTGATTGGCCGAAATTGAGTGATATTATCTGCTGCAACAATTTTCGGTATAAGCACCAGGAACGTTCTTAATATTTTCCCCTCCATTTTCCTCGATTCCAAGGTCTTATTCACAAAATCAAGAAGAGTATTTCTAACAGTCTCCCAATTTTGTTTATAAAAGATTGGTTGAATGACGTCCGGACCCGGGGCTTTAAGACCTTTCATGGAAAACAAAGTTTCTTTCACTTCCTCCATAGTGACTTGCTTCGTTAGCTCGATTTTTTCTTCTTCCATCAATCTTGGTATGAAGCTATCGTAATCTCTAGACAATTGTATGTATTCTTTCCCAGCAAACAACTCCTTGTAATAATTGTAAACATGTTGATAAAGGTCTTGTTTTCCCGTAACCCAAACATTCTCAATGTACAGGCCAACTATTTTATTAAATTTGCGCCTTATCATCGTAGTTAGATGAAAGAACTTTGTGTTCCTTTCGCCTTTCATAATCCAGTCCAGTCTTGATTTCTGAAGCCAAAAGATTTCCTCCTGCTCCAACACTTGTTGATAGTCAGCTTCCAGGATATTCTCCAATTCCTGAAGGTAATTCGAATGAAAATAATTTGTGGATCTCTGGATGCCTTGAAGTTGTTTCATCAGAATTTTCTTACGTTTGAATATGTTCCCAAAAGTACTCTCCTTCCATTCTATAAGAGCTCTCTTAGTCTCTTCCACCGCATCCACAAGAGAATTTTTCTTTTTATCCCATACTGAACTAAAAATCCTGTTAAAATCATCATGCATCATCCAAGCTGCTTCGAATCTAAATGGTCGTTTCTCTTTATCGACTGGCAGTTCCAAATCCGTGTTAACCAGAATCGGGTTATGGTCAGAATACGTTCTAGTTAAGGTAACCACTCTTAAATTAGGAAAACAATCAACCAACTCAATATTGTGCAGTAACCTGTCGAGCCTTTCCTGAAGAGTGACTCTTCCCTGGGAGTGTCTAGTCCATGTAAACTTACTACCAACATAGCCAGCATCCATTAGATTGCACATATTCCAGCGTTCGTGAAACTTGATGATACGGTCCATGCAATCGAAGTTGCTGCCAACACGTTCATCAAGTGAAGTAAAATCATTAAAATCACCCACAATCATCCAAGGCAGATCAACGCTTGTAGAATAATCGTAGATATTATCCCATGCTTCGTCCTTTTTGGTTGAATGAGGTTGGATATAAACAGTGGAGAGCAACCATCTTTTATCGTTCTCTTGAATTTCACAATGGATAACCTGATCTGTTTGGTACCTAATGGAAACCTTTTGCGAGCTAGAAATCCAGAGTAAGATCAAACCTCCCCGGAAACCTTGAGAGGGGACCTCATAGTGGTTGTCGAAATTCAATTTTTCTGTAATACAGGGCCAATACCTTTTTTAGCTTTTGTTTCAAGGAGACAAATAATGGTTGGGTTTTCATCCCGAATCAACCCTCTACAATGCCTGATAAAATTTTAGTTACCTACTCCACGACAATTCCAAGAAATAAACTTCATTGGGGGGATTATAAATTATATTATCCTCAACGACCATCTTCTCATTTGTAATAACTACTTCTTCTGGTCCAATTGATTCGATTTCCATTTCCCGATCCTCCAGATTTTCTGATCTAATAGTAACATTTTCAACCTCCATTGATGGATTCACCTGATTATCCAATCTTTTTCCAGTCGCTACTATCAGTTCCATAGCAAAACTTTGACTATTTTCCCAACGATTCTTACCCCTTTTATTACTACACTGGTTGTCTCTCTTAACAAAGAGCTTGGGAGATTGAAAATTACCTTTGGTTTTCCTAGAGGACCCATCGTATGAGCTGTCTGCCGGAATATTGTCTTTTGCTCTGCTGTTACCTTCTTCGCTTCGGTTAGATTTTATGTCATTTGATGTCATTTCAAACTTATTTGAAGTTTCATTTACCTCTTGTTTACGGCTATGTTCCTCCTTTCCCTTACATATCTCATCCTCATCCATAATGTTCAACCCATCAAATCTGTTATTCTGTCGTGGCTTAATTATTCTGCTACTTTGATTTCTCTGATTACTTCTAATACCACGTGTTCTCCTTTGAACTAGCATCCATGGACCATATCTGTCCTTAGTTAATTCTTTCTCTTCTTGTTGAATTTTCTCCTGTTCCTCAACTTCCTGCCTACCTTGATGTTCTGACACTTGTGGTTCCATGTTGGCCTCTC